CCCCCCCCCCCCCCCCCCCCCCGAGGAATTGTCACGTGAACCTTTAGGGAGTGTCAGTCACTCAAGGAGCCCTAACAGGTAGTCAACACCCACAACAATAAATACTGCGACAAAGTTCTCAACACTCCACTCATTCAGACGTTTCTTCTGAGGCCGGGAAGCCCGGCTCGCAGACTCGGCTCCCTGCGAACGCAGAGCCTCCGGAGGTTGGTTCAAAGGGGCACGAACGCCTGGGTCCAAGCCACCCAGGCGCCTGGTCAAGAAACAGCAAAATAACCACGTGGCTTGCTACAGAAGGACCTCAGGCCCCAGGGGGTGGAGGGGCCTGAAGCCTGACGGGGTCTGAGTGTGGCGGGGCGGGGAGGCAGGAGCGGGAGGTGGCTCGGCCGCCTGGTCATTGGTGGAGGTGGGCCCGGTCGTCTGGCCGCTTGATGTGGATCCGCCGCACACGCTCGATCCTTTCCCGCTCCCGGTCCTCGTCCTCATCTGGGTGATGAGAGCGGCCAGCAGCCCCACCAGTGGCCTCCAGGAGTGCATTGTCAGGTCCCCGGCCATCCTGGGCCTCGTACAGCAAAATATTCAGGGTCTCCTCATAAATCCGAGCTTCAGGGAACTCAACCTGTATCCCCACAAAACACAGGGCGGCAGGTTAGCATGACCCCCAGCCCTGAGCTGGCTCCCACCTGTACTTCTGAGCAGGCCACCAGCACCCCACAGGCCCGGGGTGACAGTGAAGGCTGCCACTGTCAAGGCAGCCTTTGTTTGCAGTAGACGACACTTGCACACAGTGCTACGTTCACCAGACACCAAGGGGACACGGTGGACAGGCCTCCCACGCCCCATTTCCCTCTGAGGCCAGGCTTTGTTTTACCCTGACACCCATGCGTGTGAACATATGTGTACCTCCGCACGGTCACATAAAGGTGGCCACCCTGGAGATCCCCATGTACCATCCTGTCCCAGGCCTGGCTTGGAGATTCTGCCACCTCAGGGATTAGGACGAAGCGATCAGGCAGGGGCCACTGATAGCGTTGAGGTCGTCCCCAAGAGGTTGATACTAACACTGTGGCCTGAACCCATGTCCACCTCGACTTAGAGCAGGCTGTGAAGCAACTGTTTCTGAACAAGCGCCAGCTGGGGACCCGGGAAGCACACAGTATCGTCTGATTGGCAAGGGGTTGTGCTGAGTGTTCCAAGAGGAGGAGGCGCACGGCTCGTCCCAGATATGTGACTCACAACCAAGACTCGGCTTTTAAAGGGCAGGATTCTGAGGTTCTGGGGAGATGAGTGAGCCACCCCACCCTGTTTTCACTGAAGCAATTAAGCCAGGAGGGGACTCACAGCAGCTCAGCAGGACTCGGAGAGGTCAGTGGGGCACAGATGGGTGGGGGTGGGGGCAGGGGGTACTGGAGGTAAATAAACCCTAAGCAGAAGCACGGATGCAGCCTGAAACCATCACTGGGACAGAGAAAACTCCAGAAGGTCACTTGTGGCCAGAGGGGTGAATATAGTCTATATTGGGGCACGGGGACAGGGAACTTCCCTGATATTCTGCCTCTATTTTCTCATACCCTAGCCCCAGCCAACCTGTGGTGGCAACCATACACAGCAGGGGCCAAAACTCAGAGAGGCCTTTTCTCCTGTGGCAACCGGAGGCGAACCCAGGCCCTCACACTCGCTGGGCAAGCCATCTTCCGTGAGCCACACCCTGACCAAGGACCTTCCCTTCTGAGGAGAAATGCTGTGATCTGAGCAGCTTGGGGAGAACCCCTGCCAATTTTTTCCCCCAGTCTTCACACTGGGTGGCCTCAGATACAGGCTCAGCCACAGGAAGTGGGGAGCAGAGCGAGGTAGTTGAGGCCCTGGCCCTCTGGCCAGACAAGTGGAAAGGAAAACCCAGGGAAGCTGACATTGCTCAGGCCGTTGGGAGGAAGGGAGCCTGAGGAAGTGTTCTCTAAGGCTGCACAGATGCCTGGAGTCACCCCGGCCGCAGGACCTGCCCCCCACAGCACCATCAGATGGGAAGACCGGACAAGGCAACGGGCACTGCCCACACAGCCTGGCCACAGCACGAGCACAAAGATGGACAGATCTGAAGCTCTTGAAAACTGAGCTATTGCTGAAACCACAATCCCGGAAGGCTGGCTGGAACCTGCAGCCTGAGCCCAGCTGGGTCAACTACTGCCAAAGCAAAAAGACCAACGTTCTCTCTGGAAATGACAAGACCCAGGGGCCCAGCAGCATGACGTCCAAAATGTCCAGGACACAATTAAAATGACTCAGCAACAAAGAACTAGGAAAACCTGAGCTCCTGGAGAAAGGTCACCAACAGGTGCCAGTGCCAGGGTGACACAAGGTGCTGGAATCCATTACTTGACAAAAACCTGAAAGCAGCCATTGTAAAAGTGTTCAGGAGAGTAAGAGCAATGCTCTTCCAGCAGAGGGCAGCACCAGGCCCCAGCAAGGGATGGGGTAGAAAGAGCCAAATGACAACCAGAACTGAGAATTACAGTGACTAAAGCCAACACCGGGGGACCCTCAGCTCACTGGAAGGGCTCCACGACAGGAGAGGCCAGCAGAAGTAATCCAGTCTGAAGGACAGAAAGACAGACCAACGGAGAGCGGAATTCTGTGCTCAGTTATTATCAGGTCTTCCGTGAATCGGAACGAAGAACCAAACGGACAACACAGGCACCAAACACCTGTGTGGACTTCAACTTCAGCAAGCCACGCCCTTTCCCATCGACGACAGGACAGCTGCGTGGAGAACTGAAGAGCCAGAGAGCACGTGGAGTGCTGTGCCAAGAAGGACATTACTAAAACACCACCACAACAGGACACCTGCACAGTGACTTGAACAACAAAACGTGTCAGCCTCCTAGAAGTTGGGCTAGATGAAGGAGTGGCCTCTTCTACGAGGGCCACCCTAACCTGACTCCCTGGAAAGTCGGTCACAGGTTCCCCTGGGGTACAGTGAACCCTAAGGCACAGACTACACAGCAAAAGGAGCCAAGGCGAGGGGCCCTGGCCCTGGCCCGACCCTGGCTTGAGAGGCTTCCTAAACACAAGCTCAGGGCAGCTCAGAACAGCCCGCTCGTCTACAAAGAGCTGGACCAAACCACTCATCTCCAAATCCCTCTGCCCCCCATTAAGCTCTAAGAGGAGAAGACTCAGTATCTTCCACTTAATACGCTCATTATCCTGTGATGCTCGCAGAGGCAAACCAGATACATAACAACCAGACCATGAGAACGTGGAGGTCCAGCTATGGGAGGAACTCACACCCTAAAGAGAGTCCACAAGACAAACAGGGCAGGACTGACACGGCCTGTAGCTATGGCAAGGGGAGCAGGCAGGTCCCCTGCCATCTCTGAGGGAAAACCACTTCTGTGTGGCTCCCTTGAAGACAGTTTCTTTTAGGATACATCCTGACGCTTGTGAATGCAGCCGGTTGACAAGTCAATCCTGTGTAGGGAAGAGCTCAGCCACAGGGGGAGCAAGGGCAGCCAGGTGACAGGTGATGGAGATCACTGGACCTGTCTAATTCTGTAAGTGAATTAAATTTTCACCAAATTATCAATGAAACAAGGTTCAGATTTCTACTGTGATTTTTTCCTGTGATTTTCTTTCATTTGCATTTTGCTTGAGGCCAGCTCCAAAATCCCACAGAACTATGTGCTTTTTGAAGCTGTGGGAGCAACAGCGAGCTGAACGTGAGGCCAACAGGCTATATGTGGGTGACAAGAGGCAAGGCAGACCTACTGACCGCATGAGTCAGCAGAGTTCCCACAGATGGGTTGAGAGAGAAATGAAAGATAGAATGTATTTACAAGCAAAAAGAAAAAGAAAGCAAGCCTACTCTCACAGCCCGAGGAGGGGAGGCAAGCAGAAGACCTAGAGTCAAGCCCAGTGACCAGCGGTGCAGACAGAGGTCTAGCGGCACTTGCTGTGCGCTCTGCTCTACGAATTGGCTTGGCAGAAGCCAAGGGAGAGACCAGGTCCACCTGGGAGAAGAGGATACAAAGATGGATCTAGAGTCCAGCTCAGTCAGAGCCACGTGTGGCCCAGGTGGGAACTAAGGAATGCCATGCAGGCCCTGTGCAGGCGGAGGGCAGCTCTCGGTCAGCAGGCAGGAGGACACACAGATGGTCGTGACTAGAGAGCTGAGGACCAGGTCTTGACAGCGGCACTGTTCTCTGGTGAGCTAGACCTGATGGGGTCATGCTGGTGGGCTGTCGCATGGAGGCGGCGGCGGGATGGCACAGACAGTGTCAGAAGGGTCGCCAGCGTCAGAGAAGACGCCGGCCGACAGCCCGGTACAGAGGTACAGGGGTAAATCTGACCACACGTGTGCATGGCAAGGGACTGGGGTGTAGCATGACTGTGTCCACTTGCTTCTCGCTACTGTTTCTCCCAGACCTACATTTACATCTTTCCAAGGCCCCAAGGTAGTGCTCATTTCCACAGCCACAGACAGGAAGGCGTTTTAAAAGCCTTTCCTCCTTTATTTTGTCTGAGTGGAAGAAGTGCTCCACACCTGTGTTTCAGAGCAGCCACTCAGGACTGTCCTCTCTTGGACTGTCCTCTTACCTTGGTCTGCTTCTTCTCGGTGGCATAGACGATGGAGGTGCAGCACACTTCAGCAATCTTGCGGCCCTGACCATAAAAAGACCAGCAGCAGATTTCGTCCCCAATGACATCCTTGATGAACAGGACCCTTCCGTTAAAGCGCAGAGAAAGCTTATCGAACAGCTCAATGTTTTTCAACATATTGTCGTCTGAATTGCTGCAAAAGAGCATCCAGTAAGTGACCAGGAGCTGGTAAAAACTGCCACTATTTGCTGAGCACTTCAACACACTGGATCCTATTTGGTCACTGTCTCCCTTATCTCATTTCAACTAACAACAATCCCATGGGAAAGCACTATAGTACACATTGCTCAAAGAAGGAAAAGAAAGAGCGATTAGGTAGTTGTCACCGGGCACGGTGGTGCATGACTATAATCCCAGCAGCTCGGGAGGATGAGGCTGGAGGATCGTGAGTTCAAAGCCAGCCTCAGCATAATCGAGGCACTAAGCAACTCAATGAGACCCCGTCTTTAAATACAGTACAAAATAGGGCTGGGGGTGTGGCTCAGTGGTTGAGTGCCCCGAGTTCAGAGAGCAATTAGGTAGTTGTCCAAGGCCAAAACTAATAAATGGCAGAGCTAGGCCTCAAAAATAGCTCTGGCCCCCAAGCCCATGTTCCTAACCAGTGGCACACATGCCTGCCCTGCACAACCAGAGACAGAATGCTGCAGATGTGGGGGCCCTGGCCACAGGCACCAGTGGGGGACAGCACCACACTGACACCCAAAAGGGGCAGAATGAAACTGCCCAAGGCAGACTTTTGATCCTAGGTCACTTCCTGGGCCTTGAATAACCTCATGAAATTCCCCCTCTATCCATCAAATTCCTGATTTAGAGCCACATATTCCCGAGAGAGCCAAAAGACATTCTAAAAACCCACACATACTGTTGGTGGGACTGTAAAGGGTGCAGCAACTTTAGAAAAGAGTTTAGCAGGTCCTTGATGACTAAGCTCAGTTACCATGTGACCTGGCAGTCCACTCCTAGGTATTTATGCAAGAGAAATGAAAACACAAAACACTTACACATGAACGTTCAAAGCAGCATTACACTCGGCAGCCAGAAGGCAGAAATGACCCAAGTGCCCATCAACCCATGAGTGGACAAAATGTGGTCTATTCACACGATGCAATCACTCAGCCACAAAAAGAAATGACACACTGATTCACTTTACAGCATGGGTACACCTTAAGGACATTATGCTAAGGGAAATAAACCAGTCACAAAAGACAATATTCTGCCTGATCCTATTCAGATGAAATGTCCCGAACAGGCAAATCCACAGGCAGAAGGTAGATTCATGGTTATTAAGGCTCTGGGGGGAGGGGGAAGGGACTGAGGTAAAATGATGAGTGACTACTAAGGAGTAGAAGGTTTTTTTCTAGGGTGATGAAGATGTCCTAAAACTAGACAGTGCTGAAGGCTGCAGAACTTGTGGAGAAGTTGAAAACCCACTGAACTGTATACACTTTAAAAAGTGAACCTTATGGCACATGTAAACTGGATCTCACAGTCGTAACTACTGTCCACCTCTCTACCCCCTTCCAGAGACGCAGGGGTGAGCCTCATCTGCAGGGGCTGGCCTGGCTGGTGTGTTTCCTAGTGAATGCCAGCGTCTTTGCTGTCGGCCACCTTACCTGGTGTACGAGTATTTGTTGTTACTTCTGTTGTAGAGCAGCTTCACGGAGGGCTGTGGGTTGTTGGAAAAAGGAAGACGACAGTTATTTGGCCCGCTGGGGCAAGGAGCTGAGCTGCAGACTTCCCCAAGGCCAGGACCCTGCCATGAGGCAAAGAGGTGTCAAGCACAGGTTGCTGGCTGGAGGGGACTGTGTGGCCCAGCAGCGGGGCGACACGAGATGAGCTGCAGCTTCCCGCTCTGGAGCCACGTGAGGCCGCGCTCAGGCAGCTACACACTGTTTGATCTCGGAACTTAGGCAGAAGAATCCCCATGGTTTTGGGTAGCTAACGAAAGCACAGGAGAGCGCAGCCAACATACCTTATTTGACGTCGCTATGAGTTTTTGTTCTTCCTTGGATGAAGTGATGACAGGAACCTTGCAGAAAGGCTCGTAAGTTTCTTTGTTCTGCCAAAACAAAACATGCCTTCAGCCTAGGAGGCCTGCTGGGCACTGGATTTTTTTAAGCTGATGCCAGGCAAAGACAGGCTTGGGCGAGGGAGCTGGGGCAGGCGCAGCGGGAGGAGGGGAAGACTCTCCCCACCAGGGAACTAGGGTCAGGGAAGACGAGGAGTCGTTTTCCAGACAGTCCTGGGCCAAGGCTGTTCCAGTCTGAGGTGCTGAGTGAATGCTAACAACAATGACACACTTTCTCCACCCAGATGACACTCAAAACCAAACAGGCAGGTGAAACATGGGTAATCAAAAGCTCCTACGATCCCACTCTAATGACTTCAGAGGACAAGAGAGGAGGAAAGGAATGACAGGCGCCAGGGCAGCAGACGAGAGACATCAAAACCCGGAGTCTGGAAACATATCTCAGGTGAGTGGTGACCACGGAGATGCAGAAAGTGACACTCAAGTTGGCAGACAGGAAAGAAGCCCAGAGAGTCCTTGGAGAAGAGCTCTGAACGCTGGAGGGAGTGGAGCAAGGGCAGAGGATTGCTGGCACGTCACAGAAGCACCAGAGAGACCCCAAGATCTGCGTCCTTTCCCTCTCCCCTAACAGAAAAAAGGCCCATTTTTTTTTTTTTTTCCTTTCTCTACTGGGGATTGAACTCAGGGCCACTCAACCACTGAGCCACATCCCCAGCCCTGTTCTGTATTTTATTTAGAGACCCGGTCTCACTGAGTTGCTTAGGGCCTCGCTTTTGCAGAGGCTGGCTTTGAACTTGTGATCCTCTTGCCTCAGCCTCCCGAGCACTAGGATAACAGGCATGTGCCACCATTCTCAGCAAGGAGGGCCCATTTTTTTCTGGAGTGGTTTGCATAAGAGGGGACAGCACAGGACTGTTACTATTCTAAAAGTGGGTATTATGGTTTGGATATGAGGTGTTCCCCCAAATCTCACATGTGAGACAATGCAAGAAGGTTTGAAGGAGAAAAGACTGGGCTGTAGCCTTAACCCAATCAATGAATTAATTCCCGATGGGATCTACTGAGTGGTAACTGAGGCAGGTGGGTGTGGCTGGAGGAGGTGGCTCCTGGGGGCATGGCTGTGGGGGATATATTTTGCAGCATCCAGAGAGTTGAGTCTCTCTGTACTTCCTGATCATCATGTGAGCAGCTCCTCTGTGCCACACTCTTCCACCATAGTGTTCAGCCCTGAAGAATGGAGCCTGCTGTCTCTATGTTGACACCTCTGAAACCATGAGGCACCAAATACACTTTTCCTCTTCCACAATTTTGACGGTTGGGTCCTTTAGTCACAGCAGTGAGAAAGCTGACTAACACAGTGGGGACAGGTGAGCAGCTGCATGCTAGGTGTGGAGAGTCCCAGCCTCTTCCCTCAGACTCCGGGAGGCAGCCAGCAAGCACACCCCACACACAGCAGGGGAGTGGAGGACTTCTCCAGGGAGTATTGCCATATGCGCTCTCCAAAGGCACCCAGAGTCTGACATCTGTATCCCCGCTGAAAAAGTCAACCTATCATCCAGCCAACGACAACACAGGCTGCCCCTCCTTCCCAGAATCTTACTCTTCAGCTTCAGTGGAAGCCAAGAGCGTCAGAGTATGCAAGGAAGCCTCTCCAACGTGAGAGCCCGACATAAAAGGTGACAAAGCAGGGGAAGAAGTCCGAAGACGAAGGGAGTGGAAGGAAACTTCACCCAGCATCATCAGCAAGACAGAGCAGATGCAGCAGCCTCGGGAACAAGTCAGCAGGCTGTGGAAACCGGCTTCCAAAGAACAAGAAAAGGCTCCCGGGAAAAGAGCGGCAGAAATGAAAACTTCAAGAGGGCTTGAAAAGACAAGTAAAAAAAAATAAAAAATAAAAACGGCCAAGAAAGAACAGAAAGGTAAAGTGAGAGCTATTGGAGGAAAGAGAGAGAGGAGGGCAGCCCTGAGGGTTGAGCCTCAGCCTAATGGAAAGAACCCCAGAGGGCTGCGTCCACGTCAAAGAGGAACAGGCCCCGGGATGTGTCTGAACGTCCAATATGAGCAACTGGGAAACCAAGCCAGTAGATCAGCTGTGGCTGAACTGTTCACCATGTTTACAATGCACAAGGTAAACTCTGAATACTGGTTCAAGCAAAACGATTACAAACTATTCTGGGAGAAGGCTTGGTGCGGGGGAGGGTGGTGTATGAGCTAAATTCCTGTTTTTTATAGTAATGCCCGCAGCTAACCCAGAAAACTGCAAAGCCCATACACAGCAGTGCAAGCAAGTGATGTGGAAATAAGAAAGAAAAGAAAAAGGGCTGGGCTGGGGCTCAAGTGGTAGTGCGCTCGCCTGGCATGCATGAGGCACTGGGTTCGATCCTCAGCACCACATAAAAATAAATTAAAGATGTTGTGTCCAACTACAACTAAAAAAATATTAAAAAAAAAGAAAACAAAAAACTGCTGAAAGAGGCGGTTTTGGGGTGAGGGGTGGTGTCTTCCACAGTGACCGTGCAGTCCCATCTGACCTCCTCGACGAGACATGTGCTTCACTTTAACAAACCTAACAATGAAGTGTCAATGATGCAAATGCTGCAACATTTGTTAGCTTCATTGGATTGCCACTCTAAGCCAAGGACAGTGCCTCCAGGAGCCTGGCATTAGGGTGCTGCTCCAGTAGAGGGTCACATACAGCCATGTGGCATGGGGGAAACATAAACAAGAGCCTTGCCCCCCCCCCCCACACACACACACATGTGGACCTCTGACAGCCCAAAGGGACACTTCTGACTCTCTGCCGTGGCAGACTGTGCTTGAAACAAAAGGCTACCGGCCATGTCTAGAAGCATTTGTTTTGTAGCATTTGACTCCAGCTAGACTTGACCCCAATGGTCCTGCCCCAGGCCAGCCAGGAGAGAGAGGCATCTGTCTGTAAAGACTTTGCTGGGCTCCCAACAATGATAAATGTATCCAGAACAAGTTCCAAGTGGATCCAGAAAATGGTCCAGTTTAACACCCTGAGGGGTCTATCATTACTGAGGGGTTACATGTGCATGTGAGATGACCCAACACCACAGGGACTGAGACAGGGAGTAGCTGGGTGGCCTAGGAAATGCAGGAAGGCCTCTCTGACTGCAGGGGAGAGGCCCAGGGTGAACGCCCACGTCTCACTGAGTGAGGAACAGCCCCCATTTTGAGGAAGGGAAATGAAGAAGGCCGGTATGTCTGGTGCCCCCATGCGGGAAGGGGGTGCCTACTTGCAGGGCCGCCTGGCACTCCTCAACCAGGCCCTGGACCAGGTAGTACTTGGCTTCTGCTAGCAGCTCCTCGATCTCCCGGCGGCTCTCGGGCAAGGGGACGGCCCCATCTCGAAGGTAGTTGAGTATTGTACCAAAGTGCTTCCCACACCGGTCAATGAGGATCCAGCCTGCGGGGGGAGGGGGTGGTTATGAGGCACTGTTCCCACGGGAGGTACGGAGCAGAACTAGGGTGTCTCCTGGCTCCCTCCACCTCCTGAGAGCAGCAGCAGAGCGCTGCAGCCACAGCTGCCTCCTGCAGACAGCAATGACGCGGCCTGTGGGGCCTAACCCCAGATTCCTGCGGTCTTCTGCCCCTGGTTCCAAATGGGACTAAATGACCACATCCACTGACAGGAGGAAGGCTCCTGGGGATGGTGCCAGTCAGACTCTGCAGCAGTAGAGTCATTACTAGGAGAACACAGACTTGTCTCCAGACTGTGACGTGACCTCAGGCTCCTGAGGGTGACCCAGACACTCTCCAGACCACAGGAAATCCTATTTACAACTCCTGAAACGAGCACTTACTGACCAGGGACAGCAGTGAGACATAAATGGTGAACTCAGGAGATGGCCATCAAGCAGCCCGACACTCAGGGGATGGAACCTGCTTTAACTAGAAGAGAGAAGTGTCCCACTCCCACCTGCTGACCGGAACCAGGCACGGTGAAAGTTCTTGAGGGGCTGGGGCCAGGGAGACCACCCCGCTGTTTCCCAACATTCTCTAAATTTTGTCACTAGCTGCTGCTTTTCCACTAGAGAGCCTGAGGGGGTTCAAGATCTCTCCCCTGCAGTGCCACGCTCCTGGGTGGGATATCTGGTGGAGGAGCTAGGACTGAGCCTGGGAAGACGGCGATGGAGAAAGACCATCTCGAGAGACAATGACGAGTATAAAAAGAAGCCAGTTGTGAAGCCTCAGCCGTGCCAACCAGCGGGATGACGTCAGGCAAGGGGCTTCACCAACTCTGCCCCACCTCACGGGGACAAAATGCCAGCACCGAGTGGCTAGGAGGCCTAAACAGAATCAGGCCTCTGATTCCCCCCTTTCCTTCCCTTCTGCTCCCAGTTTGGGGAAAGGGGATGACACGTGCACTCCTGCCCGCCCCCCCTTCCCTTACTTGAGTCCTCCTCAAATCCCTGGGCCCTGGATATTAGAGGCAGAGAGCAGTACAAGTGGAGAGCAGCAAATCTGCCTTTTTCACATGCCAAGGCACAGCCTGTCCACCTTGCTGTACCCATCCCCCACAGCCCGCCCCTGCCTAGCCCCTCTCACCTTAGTGCACTTTCTCTCTCTCTCTTTTTTTTTTTTTTTTGCAATAATCGGGAGTTTGGTAACAAGACTACTTCCATGTTCCTCTCCTGAAACTTACGACACTACTCAGCTCACTGGCCCTGGGCCTTCTGTGAAAGGGCTGTCCTCCTCCCTCCCAGGTATTCCACCTGGTCTGCCACCCACCGTGGTGTCCCGAGTGCAGCAGGAGGGAGAGTGCCAGCTGAAGGGAACACCAGAAGACACAGCCTGGAGCCACCCCGGGTGCTGAGAAAGGAAGAGGCCTTTGCCGGCAACGGTCGCTCACCCTGCCCCGACCGTGACCTCCACATGTCCCCCCACCCCCACCCCCCGCTTCTTTCCACATCTGAGGCAACAAAATATGGACTTAATATCCTCCTGATTCAGCTGTCCACAGGGGCCTGCAAGCTGCAGAAATGAGTGCAGCAGCTGGAGCACGGCCCCGCCCCCACCCAGGGGTGTTCTCACCTCTGGCCAAGGGTGGCCGGCAGGAATGGGGGCCAGGGATGCCTGCACCCTGCTGTTCCAAGAAAGGCCAGAAACCAGGTTCTTCTGTGACTCTCCTTTGTCAAGTAACTTACAAAGAAAAAGTCACCAATTGAGCAAGGACCACATGACAAACACAATGCAGGTCCAGGCTGAACTGGGCCCGTGGGCTACCAGCTTGTGACCTGTTACCCAGGATCAAATATTTTTTCCAAAAATCTGGCGAGGTGTGGAAAGATGGTATTATCTTCCCGACTGATCTTTTGGGGGAGGTTCACTCCCTGTGTTTCCACAGAGAGAGAGTCCCCGGGAGGTCAGAACCAGAACCATCAGGACAAGTTGGGAACTGGCAGAACCTTGGGCTTAAAGAGAAACGGCAGCCAGTTCAACTCGGCTGTCAGGAAGAGACCGTCCACATTCCGCCTCTGAAGTGTGGGCCACTCGGCTGCCAGACAAGAGCGAGGGCCCCGAAATCAATTATCCAAGTGACAGCCCAGAGTTTCCATAAATGAAGAGGCCGACCGTGACACTGGGCTCCGGCTCAAGAATGTCATCAGGAAATGCTTGTGGCGAAGGAATCATACTTTGGACAAATAAGGGCACAGGACTCAGGCGCTCTCTCCAGGAGGCTTCAGTCAGCACTCTGACTGGCTTTCAAGCAGGAAGCCGTCCCTTAGAAAAGCTCACAGGGCTGCGCTCAGAAAATCAAACGAACGTCGAGCAGCTCCTGTCAGTGGGGCGTCTGTCCTGGTGCCACGGAGCCACTGGCTCCTAAGGAGGTCTCCGGGCCCAGGCCAGAGGGCAGGATGGCTGGGCCCTGGGACATCGAGCAGCACTGCACAGTGGCTAGGAGCCCTTGCCTGTGCTGGAACTCAGCTCTGCCACCACCTGCCAGGTGGCATCAGCATTTCACTCAGGTTCTGTGCAGCAGTTCCTCCTCTTTTTTTTTTTTTAATATATATATTTTTTTCATTTCTAGATGGATACAATACCTTTATTTTATTTTGTTTATTTTTCTGTGGTGCCAAGGATTGAACCCGGTGCCTCATACATGCTAGACAAGCACTCTACCACTGAGCCACAACCTTAGCCCAGGAGCAGTGTATCCCAAAGGGTCAGCACAAAGACAGGGCGCCAGATGTACACAGCGCACACGGCGCGTCTGTTGGCAGACTAAAATTTGCTCTAGGTCTTTGACAATGAGACCTTCACACGTCTCGTCATTGTCATTAAAGAACAGGGCAGCGGCAGCATCTAGAGGGGGCAAACCCAGGAGGGAGTGTGTGTGGCACCCAGAGTGCCAGGGCAGAAGGCTGCTCTGGGGCCAGGGGTGCTGGGGTTGGCTCCCGGCTCCCACCCCTACAGCTCGCCTCCCACTCCGTTCCCTGGGAGGTCTCGTCTCTGGTTTTCCTTTCTTCCTCTGGGGACAGTTCACAGAGCTCTCCTTGCCATATGGAAACACTTCTACATTTGTGTGGCTCCCAGGCTTGCTCGGTCTTACAAGTTACCTGAGCTGCTGCTTCCAAATTCAGATTCCAGGAACCCACCTCCTGCCTCATTCCTGAACACCGATATCAGGGGCAGGGCCTCCAAACTTGGCTCTGCTGACATTTGGGACTGGATAACTGATATGGGGGAGAGGGACTGACCTGGGCTTCTAGCAGCACTCCCACTCCCAGCTGTGACAACCAAAAATATCCCCAGACACTGACAATGTCCCATGGGTCGATAGAGAAGTCACCTATGTCTGTGCACCACTGAGGTGGTGTAGCTGGGGCTCAGTGATGGAGCCCTTGCCTGACTTGCCCAAGACCCTGGGTTTGACCCCTAGCACTGGAAGAAACAAAAACAACAAAACAAAACAACAACAAAAAATTTGACTGTAAAAACCAAGGACAATGTTGAGGTCTCAAAAGGCTATTTTAATTAAAAAAGCAATGACAGGTCAAGTCAGGCTGGGAGAGAAGCAACACACAACCACAAAGAAACAGGATCCAGAGTGTGTACTTCTGCAAAATAGTATGAAAAACATGTAAACGAGACATGGGCAGCTCAAAGATAAACCCAAACCACCAACAACCATAAAAAGATACTCGATGCACTAGAAATTAGGAAATGGGAAATAAAACAGGTTATCATATGAAAACCACCAGCTTGACCAAGGTTAAAAGGTTGCCAGTGCCCAGTGCTGGCGAAAATCCAGCCACTGTGAGGAGGGCAAGCTGACGCGCCACCTTTATGAGGCGATACCTTATAAAGTTGAAGATGCTGGTCCCAATTTGCCCTCTGGGAATACACTTTGGGGCAGAGCTCCCGGGAGTGGGTGAGCTCTTAACACTGCAACTCCTGAGCTGCCTCACCTCCCAAGGTGAAGACAGGATCCTCTGCACGCACCACAACGTGGCAAAGGCTGGGAAACGTGTGCAAGGGAGAATGTTCTGGAGCACTAACATTTTTCATGGTGGACGCTGAAAGCAATGCACACAGCCACTAACAGCATGTGGCTCTGTCGCCTTCCCCAAGTTTCTAGAATGGAAACTCCACCACAGGGAAATGATCAAACTCCATGGTTCCAAGTCACAAGCATAATGTTGAATAAGCAAAAGCAAAGAAAGACACACACAGTACACCGTTTATACAATTTAAAGCACACCAGCAGGACGTCGTATAGGGACAAACAGCTATAGTAAAATACCTAGAAAGACCCACACCTGTGGTCCCCAACCCTAGTACAGTAGTATCATCTAGAGAGCTCCTCAAGGTCTCAACGCCATAGCAATACTTGGCTCTCTGGGCTAGGACACAGGTATCAGTATTGAAGTCCTTGGATGACAAGGTTAAGATCCATCAGTGACCCTTAAGAGGTCACGTCTGGCAGGGAGATGGGTGAACAGACCAGTGGGGACAGGACCCATCAGAACAGGTGACACTTTCTACCTATTGCGTGGTTTCCTAGGGCTCTTCTTCAATCTAGCTCATGCGCTCCCTAATTCCAAGAGCGCTAGGTGAGACCCAAACCATGTGGTGGGAGGAGTGCCACACCAAGGCGCAGGGACCTCGGGCGACTGCAGGACAGTGCCAACACGAAATCTAATTCTTACTAGAAAAGGCACCACAAATCCACAGGACCCGGTGAGGTTGACAAGAGCTCAGGTAAAAATCACAGCACTGCAGGGTACAGCCTGCTGTCTGCCACAGTGGCCTCTCAGAAAAGCCACCCCTGTAAGCAACTAGAGCACACCACTCCTGAAGGCCAAGGTGGGCCATCCCCTCCTACTCTGCTTCTCTTCAGCGGGTTCTTCCCTCTTCTCTCTACACCCCCACCCCAGGGAGGACTAAGGCCGTCAATAATATCAATAATGATACCCGTTGATCAGTTTTTTTCAATTTATCTGGCACTGCATTTTTTTTTCCAGTACTGAGGATTAAAACCAGAGTTCAGTGCATGCTAAGCAGATGCTGTACCACTGAGCTACACCGAAGCCCCCGTCCCCCTTTTTTGAGACAGGTTCTCATTTAAGTTGTCGAGGCTGGCCTCGAACTTCTCATCCTCCTGCTTCAGCCTCCTGAGTAGCTGGGATTACAGGTGTGGGCCACCATGCCCAGCCTCGAGCGTCTTCTAACATCCCCATTCAATCCCCGTAGCCCTGCAAAGCATCATGCCCAGCATTGCAAAATGAGGAAAGAGACTAAGAGACAAGGCCACTTGCCCCATGTCACAATTCCAATAAATGGCAAATAGTCAAAATGAGCACAAAATGCCTGACACTTGGAAATAACTCCATCAATGTCAGCTGTGATTGTTACCATGTGGCAGAGCCAGGACTCAGACCCGGGTCTAACTCCCACCCACGTTCTTCTGTTTAGGAATTACCTGTACATGGTTCAACGCTCCAACAGGCAGATGGCCAGAGAGCAAAAGGGGATGGAGGCTCCTCCACACACCCAGATGGAGCCCAGGTCCTTTCCTGAAACAGCCGCTCTCTCAGGCATCCTTTAGAGATGTCCGGCAACATGATACCGCACTGCTCTGGACCTTCAAAGCCCCTGTTCTTTCCTAGGCAACTGAGTCTAGCAGTAGAGCTTGCTAATCAAGTGCACTTGACATTGCTGTTTGTGGCAAACTTCACTACAGCTGACGGCTGCCCCCAGGCCAGGGTGAAGCTGTAAGATGCAGGAAGTGCAGGCCGTGGGTCAGGTGTGCAGGGTTTTCTCTGGGGACAACAGGATTGCTCTGCCTGATGGGGATGATGGCCGAGGACCAAATATTCCACCTGACAGCTCAGGCCCTCACAGGGCCCCTGAAGGGCTTTAGCACAAAACCAGCCCGTGACCCATAAGGCTGCCACACATTCCAGTGGTTTGACTGGGGACCCAGGCCCATGTCAAATCACAGGCAGCAGATGTCATGAGAGTGAGTCCTGGGGCAGGCATTTGCCTTTCCAGCCTCATAGCCTTTTTTTTTTTTAAGTTGTAGTGGGACACAACACCTTTATTGCACTTCTTTATTTTTATGTGGTGCTGAGGATCGAACCCAGGTCCCACCCATACGAGGCGAGCGCTCCACTGCTGAGCCCAGCCCCAGCCCACCCACAGCTTTTGAAAAAGCATTTTTACTTGCGATGCCAATTCCCCCCTTGGAAAGGCAGCCTCGATTTCCAAATCACTCAAAGGGTCACAATGAGGATTAAGTGAAATAACACCCATAAAATGCCATGCCATGTCAAGAGCTTTTTCTTGATAAGAGGGACTCATTATGACGTATGTGACCGGTGTGTCAGAGATGACACTGCTTCTCCTGAGGTGCTGGACTTTGCAGGCAGCACTGGGCGAGGCTGTTCCTCGGCAGCCTCTCTAGGAGCGTCCTGCTGGCACTGTCATGCTCTGTGCAACTGAGGGATGGGGCAGGAGACTCCATCTCATTTGTAATATGGCCACAGACTGCCCAGGTGAGGGATTTCTAGAAGAGCTTCCACTTGGCCTTCAAGTGGCTCAGCAGTTCTTCCTAAGCCCCGCCCAGGAGACTGGGCAGGGCCCAAGAAAAACCATAAGAATCCTGGGTTCTCAGATCCTCTGCTTCCTCCTGCTGCTTGGGGTTATTGTCTAGATTTCCCAGGCAAGGCAGGGTGTGGCCAGCCCAGGGGAGCCACCCACTCATAAAACACCAAGTGTTTTCCAGTGAGGTACAACAGTGGCCCTGGGGCTCTGATTTACCTGCTGCTTGACAGGAAACCCAAGTTCACGGGGAAGCAGAGCCAGTGCCCCGCCCCACTCCCGGTCTGGCCTTCTCCAAGGTGCAGTGGGAAACACCTGACAAGCCAGCGGTCCCCACAAAGGTCAGACAGTGAGACGTGGCCTAACAGGCTTAGGGTCTTGGTCTCACAGGCACGTGTCCAAACTCTCCCACTCTCCCAAGCCCACATCCCTGAAAGTGGAGAGTGGGGAAAACTGGCACAGAAGGCCAGTCTCAGAAACATAGGTAAAGCTATGCTGTGGCCTGGCCTAGTCTAAAGCATTCTCAGGTCAAGGAATGAAGGTCGGGGGTGTTTTGAAACTTCATATAACCTACCAACCAGGTAAGGACATACGCCTGCTAGGTGCTTAGTTTCATTCAGGTGGAATACTTTTAAAATTTTATTTTTTATTAACAGGACTTCCCATAAAAAAAGCAGCACATACACTAAACATGCATGTTCCAGATCCTTCCTGTGGGCCAAAATGAGAGCTGGGCATTGATAAGGAAAAAGGCATCAGAAGGCTCAGCCGCTTGGTGAGGATCGCTGAATACTAATGGAGAGGCCAGGGCTCAAATCCAGGTCTGTGAGTTTTTGTCAGGACAAATGCTTTTGTCCTAGGAGGATGGGGGTCCAGAGAAACTACTTATGCCTCTTCCAGGGATGACTGTCACTCTGAAGTCACAGGACAGGAAGAGAACCATCGAGGACAGCTAGCCTAACCTCCAGTTTGCAAAGAATCGAGCCAAGGCCTGGCCCGGGGAGAGGTTTTCTCAAAGGCACACAGCAAAGCAACAACCAGATGGAGACTCTAGGAGTCCCTGCCCAGGTGACTCTTATTCATCAGGTCTCAGCTCCAATGTCACTTCCTAGGGAAGTCTCACCTTGACCACTCCCCACAAATTAGACGGGTCTCCCTGGAACTCTCGGGGCTCCCTGCACACTCTGAGAATGCTAAACACAGCTGCAAGTCATACTTGTGTGTGCAACTGCCCATTTAATATTGGTCTTCTGAAGCAGACGGAGGTCCCCAACCACACACACACATGCACAACCAGAAGCACCCGGCCGGTGGCTTACCTTCACTGTCGGTGAGCACCTCCATGCGCCCACTGAACATGGCTTTCAGCATGGTGTCCTGCTTGGTCAGGGTCTGCATGGTGGTGTAGTAGAGGGCTCCCCCGACATTCAGCTTCACGTACTTGGAGCTGGGACTCGTGCCCTTGAAGGAAGTGGTGCGGGTAGCAGCCGCTGGCACCGCTGAGCTCACCACACTTTCTCCTGACATCTCTTCCTGCCAGTGGAGAAGACACAGGTCACCCCATCACCCCTTCCAGCCCAGGGGCTCAACCTGGCCTCCAGGTGTGTTCCGCATGGTGCTCCCAATGTTGGCAACTCAGAGCTTACCACAAAATCTGGATTTCTGACTTCTCTTAAAGTCAGAGGCCAACTGGGTCAGGAGGGCAACCACTAGTGGAGCTGGGGCACTGGCTGTCCCATGGAGAGGGGCACGCATCTCCCGGTCTGCACTAACCTGCACACAGAGAGTCTCACGCACTGGCCTTGGCTGCTGACTCCACAGCTTGGGTCTGCCCTGACCCTGTGTTACAGGGACTGCCTAATACCCCTACAAAAAAACGCCCTCGCTGAATCCCAAACTGGCCCCAAACACTGCCTGGGTCTCTCTACCTGTCCTACTGCCACATACCAACAAGCAATTACAAGTGCATCTTGCAGTTGAATTTCAGATGAAGGAAGCTCACAAGAAGTTGAGTGGGATCCCAATTCCCAGCCTAACACTTCTGGGGCAGAGGGAGTGTTTCTGAGCACCAAACCACAGAAACTCTTGGAAGCAGGTTTCTACACAACGAGAGGCCTCCTGGACTAGTGCTGTCCTCAAAAGAAGATCTTGTGAGTCTTCTTGACAGCACTGCCAGCTCCTGTGCACACTCAGCCAATAAATGGACAGACACATGTCTGAGCTAAGCAGGCCTGGGAAGAGAGACTGCAGCCCGGATGCAGGGACTCCAAGAAAACATTTTTTGAACGAATAGATAAAATTCTAGAGCTGGGTATGATGCCCAATCTGGGGCCCAGCACTGAGAAAGAGAAAGTGGCCCTGACCTCCAGACGCTGGCCTGGCCCTCACAGGGAGGCTTCAGTGTTCCCATGGCACATGACCAGGTTCACAGCACTTCACTGTGAGGAGACCACTCTGTGACTGTGCTGCCGCAAGACAAGAACAAAACGATTCCACACTCATGTTTGGAGACAAGAACATGAACGTTATCCACAACAAACAACCAAACATCCCCCATCCAGCCTAATGCAGGTAACTGCTGCTTCCTTACCAAGGACAGACCTGGCCCAGTTCTGTTCTCCCACCTCCAGGACAGGAGTCTCTGAGACCTAATCACAGAATTAGTCACTTGAAACACAGAGCAGGGCAGAGTCCCACTTGCTCTTTCTGAGATGCCTTAGCTCTTCCTCAGTGCCACAAACATGCAAACCCAGACGCAAACCCAAACACAGCTGTGTGTGACCTCAGGTATGCTCCTGGTGAGTTCTGACTGGAGGGCACTGAGGCCACAGAACTTTTTTGAACTAAACTGAAAAAATGATCATTTTTATGTTCTTAATGCCTTCTATTTTTTCCAGGGACAGCAACGTGTTTTTTACATTTACACTTAGAACAGAAATGCTGGGGTTTTTTGTTTTTTTAAATGGGATAGAGGATGAAACAATGCCAACCTATAATAGCAGAGGCCATGACTGAGCTACATCCACAAGCAACATGCCAACCAAGGTTGCCCAACTCTTCTGGCCAACCCTCCCCAACTCCAGCCACACAAGAGGGGCCGGGGAACTTGCGTGAGATTTCTGCAGAGAAAAACAAAACAGCCTCCTGCAAGTAAGTGTTTTTTTAAACTGTTCCTGCTTCTTCAAGTGAAAACATACAAGAAGGGAAGTCTTCAAAGGTCAGGATGAACTCACCTGGGGTCTCTGTGGCCTGATGCCAGACATAAAAAGAGGCAACAAGGAAGCAATGACCTTTCCCTTCTAGCTTCCCTTTGAAATCAGTCCCCAGAGACCCTACACCATATCCTACAGAAAATCTCTGTCCATGTGATGACAGAAGTAGCTTATAGGAATAACAAGTTTCCCCAAATTTTGAAGCTTGGAGAGAAAAAGGCTTATGTGGCTTTGAGGAGTCTTTTTTTTTTTTTGGGGGGGGGTAGGGAAATTTGCCCCAAAATGGAAATACTTTTCTAGTATCCCCAAATATGTTTATGGAAAATGGTCTAACATCTTACAAGGCAGCTACCATGAAGAAAAAAGACAAAGTATACTTCATACACTTTTCCTGGGTGTCCAGTACCTTCATAAAGGTAATTTGCGTATAATGAAGTGTATTTTAAGCGTACAGCTGGATGACGTGTAATCAATTTGTACGTCTGTGTTGTCCTGGTCCAGTCAAAACAGAATACTCCAGGGCTCTAGAAGGACCCTCCAAGCCCCCTCAACAATTCATTTCTATCACCTCATGACTTTTTGAAATGCTAGTAGACAGCTGTGATTTTTTTTTTCCATTTTGTGGATTCAGATACCACTGTCCAGAGATAGTTGGTCCCTTCTCAAAGCCAGAAGGTGCATCAGTGATGAACAAGGGAAGGACATGGGCAAATCGTGGCTGGCCTGGGGCCCATCACCTGTGGTATACTTAGAGCTAAGGCCCACCCCTTCCTTAGATGTATAATATAGACCTCTGAAAAAAGGTGGAAGGCAATGTGTGGTTAAAGGTTAGGAGCCAGACCTGAGTTTCAGTCCCCAGCCCAGCCACGTGATGGTGATGGGAACACAAGCAGATGCATGAATCCAGTTCTATCTATCAAACAGAGGCACCAGTCTCGCCTCCCTGCCACAGGAAAGACACAAAGCACTCAGCACAACCTGGCTCAGAGTCATCACACAAACAGGAAACACTTAAATTGTGATTATTTGGGAATGTTCATAAAGGCTCAAATTATCTTCTCTCCAGAGACCCTTTCTAGCTTTAATGACAGACTGAATTACTATAAGATAAAGGCAGAAGCCACCCTGATGAAGCCGGAGACTCTAGATTAATCAAGGAGAGCTCTCATCAGTCAGCCCAATACCAGGAGAGGTCTTGGAGAGAGGGCCTGGGCTGTTGTTCACGTCCCTGAGCTCGAGTTTCAGTGAACTGGGGACACAAGCAGTGGACAATAAACCTCTCACAGCAACCCTCTCTACTGCCAGGTCTCCCCTTGCATCTCTACAGGGACCCTGCTGTTTTGCTCCTTTCAAAATTTTGATTTCATTATTAACGAGGTTGGGGACGTGGAACGGGAGAAAACAAAACTGGTTACAAGGCATAGAGGTAATTAATACTTGAGATATTGGTTTGGGACTCTATTCAATCAGAAGTTTATTCCAGTTAGATGGGTAAGTCTAGGCTTCTCTCCTTCCCATCTGCCCTGAATATACTGTTGCAGATTCTAAACAGTGGCTCTCTACCTAGTCACATATTAGAATTACCAAGGGAGTTTACAAATACTGATGTCTGGGTCCAACCCATGGTAATTAAAAAAATCCCCAAATGATTCTAAGGTGCAGCCAAGAATTGCAAGCCGCTATTTTAAGATGTTCTAGACCCTTAATTAGGCTATAATTAAGTCTTAGAGAAGCTCTCCAACTTCTGGCTCTATTGGCCCCGTGAATTTCTGACCCTCACTTAAAAACAAACCAAAGCACCCTAAATAAAAGCAAGGGCCCCTTCCCACTTCAGAGCTACAAGCAAGAAGTAACTGTATGCATGCTTGAAAAAAATAAAAATCAGCCAAAGGGAAGAAAAAGCATTGTTTTGAACAGAGACCCAAGCAAGTACAGTATGAAAAAAAAAAAGTACCACATTCCTTTTACTATCTCATATGTATGTATAGGGAAACAAACCTGGACGGCAATCCCAGTCCACTGCCTGCATGACGTTCAGATAAGCTATTTAACCCAAGTTTCTGTTTCTTAACTTGTAAAATGGAGTGTTAAAGTAATAATCTTCAAAAATTCCCGCAGGGAATGAAAGTTAAAGCACTTGGCACCCAGTCCTTAGTTTCCCTCCTACCCTTCAAGCTTTAAGACGAGTTGTTCCTAACCCTGGCTAATAGAACCCATCTCCTGGGTGTACTTAATAAACACTGGTATCTGCCTGGGATAATCAGAATCTTTGAGAAGGGTAGAGGTGGCAGCTCTGTAACTAGAGTGTAAAAAATTCTTCAGGTGATTCAAATCTCAAACGATATCAAAAGTTCTTCAGTAGCTACCAGAGCTCAACCATTAAGTAAAGTGTTTAATCAGCTTGATCTAAGAATCAAGGGGGTTGTGAAGAAAAAATATGAGTGTGGGGATCCTTACAGCAGGGAAATTTAAGGAACTTCATTTAGATTAGGCCTGACACTTCTCCAAACCGAGGGCATTACTACAACTCAAGAAAGTCTGCTGTTCCATTTCAACCAAACTAAGTTGAATCAGTCACATAACTGTGGCATTATTTTGCATCCAAAACTTGCTTATAAGACAGTTACTGCCAATTCCAAGTGTTCCATGGAATGTGTTCCCATTTAGCACACAAACACGAACCATCTTTAGTTTAATGAGAGACTGTTCTCTCAACAGTCTAGTGAGGAAGATTTTACCATCAATGCCACGTTTTAGGGGAGAAAACTATAATCAAAACCATAAGCCCTCTGACTCCAACTCACACACCCTTTTCATTTCAGAGCTCAAATCAGGAAATCATTACTCTAAATCCCTATAGTGTTTAAGAGAACAGATCAATGGGCCTTGGCCCTGGACCATATTGATAGGGCTCAAAAATTTGGTCATTTTTAACAAGTTCCCAGGGAGTGATGCTGTGTTGGTCTGGAGACCAGTTTAAGAACCACTGGCTCAGATGGCCCTTATTTTGCACAAAATAGAGCACGTCGAAAAGGAACACAGATTGACTCATTTTTCTTCAGGGAGTGATATTCCCTAAAGATGGCAATGTTCTAGGGAAGTGACAAACAAGGAAAAAGAGGATCTGAGCTGATCTTTGGTCACCCTCACCCAAGGACAAGGAACAGACCCTGGAGGATCCCAAGTAAACAGAAACCTTCCCACAGGTGAGACAGCAATGTGAGACACACTCGGCTCCTGAGGTGTGGCCACCTAGGGCCTCAAAGGAAATGACTGGATAGGTGCCCAAGCGCCAGTTGAGGCTCCACTGCATGGTGAAGGTACCCTGACCTCAGACCCTGGCATCCCTGCCTGGAATTCCAAGCAATGACCTGCACACCCGCCTTCCGGCTCCCTGTTGCCTGGTGCCCTCAGACCAACCTGGGAGCCCCTTCTCCACTTCCTCCAAACCCAGCGACTCCAGCTACCACCTCAAAGACCCCCAAACGCTCTGCTCCAAGGACTCCCACTTCACCCTCTCCGAACCCCACCACTGTCCTTCGCAATGCCCCAAGTTCTCATTTCCCACCCCAAATGTGTTTACAATGACACCTCTTTGTTCCCATAGTACTCTATTCCCGTGTTCAAACAGCACCCAGACACCAGCACCCCAGACGCCACCCTCCACTCAGTCACATACGCATCTACTCCCCAAGCCCAAGCAGCCTGTCTCGGATCCGCGACAGCCAGAGACCCCCGCCCCTGCCAACTCGCCACCAAGGCCCTTCCCCCACCCGGCCTCGCCCCCATCCCACCCCCCACGGCCGCTTCTCCTCTCACGGCCACAGCACCCGCTCCCCACGATCCCTTCCCCCTCGGCCGTTGTCCGGCTCCCTTGGCCGTCCAGAGACCCTACAGGATGGGCACCGCCCTCCTTACCATGAAAAGTCGGAGGACGACGGAGTCTCCAAATCCGGACTGAGAGAGGCAGGAAACACCCAGCTTACTTGAGCCGGGGGCGGAGGCGGGGCTGGGCGGGAACTTCCGCTGTCCACACCCCACTTCCGCCCCGCAGAGGGCACCTTCCTAAAGCGTCCGCCGGGGCCCCAGACGTCGACCACGTTCCTTGCAATCTCCTCAAACAGAATAGCTTCCACCTTCTCTCCTCTGGGACAGGCATTTATCCAACTCCTGAATGTGCCGCTTTTTCAGCTGCCAGAAGAGAGGACAAGACGCAGGGAGTTTCCCCCCCGCCCCCGGGCAAATAAGCTCGGGGGAACTGTTGTTTCCAGGAACCGGATACTGGCTTCCAGGCGGAGTTCAGAGAGCGAACACCCCGGGGCAAGATGGCGGTCGGGGTTCGGCCGCTGCCCCGGGTCTGGCAGAATTTTGGGGTGTTGGGTTGAGGCGGCGGCAGCTGTGGCCCGGACTCAGAGCGCTGGGGCCTCGAGCGGATAAAGGTCTACGACCTGCGGGTAGCGAGTAGAAACAGGGTCATCGGTTCTCTGGGCGGTGGGGCCGGGGACTTTGAGGGAGGTGTTCTGGGGCCGAGTCCGTGCTTGGACAGGTCGGAGGGGCGGGTTCTGCAGCTGCTCTGGGGTCTCCAGGGTGTTCCCCCCGCCCCCGTGGCTCTTTCCACTTGTTATCGAGGCGATAGGCGTTTATAAAGGTAGAAATTCTTGGCGAAAAGTGTGATTGTTGATATTAAGGGAACGTGCTGGGCCTCAAGGGTCACCTAAACTGGAGTTCGAACCCGATTCGCTTGTGGTGTGACTTTGTGTGAGTCCACTCACCTCTGTGACCCCCATTTTCCTTCTCTGTAAAAGGTAGTAATTGTTTCACAAGAGTGTTTTATATTGCCTTTTAGTATCCTGCTTGACATTCAGCTCTTAATAAAGAGAAACCTGGTTATAATTGGACTCTAGCCCCATGGGCAGCCTCACATTCTCAGCCTCTCTTTACTTTGCTTTGTAAATGGGGAGGCCTGGATCTTGTCTACTTACCAATAACTAATTGCTTTGGGGTTCAAATAAAGGATCCCAGAGGCTCTGGCAGGTCATGCCCCCTCTGTACATTTTCTCCCCCCCACACACAGGAAGGTTGAATTGATAATAGCATCCCACCTAGGCTATTAGTTTAGGCAATAGGCTGTAGCTTTCAGTAAATAATACCCAGTATTATTAATAGTTTCTCCAAGTTTTGTTGACTATTCTTGGATTTAAGAAATTATACTATTGAGGCAGGCATGGTGGCGCTGTAATCCCAGCAACTGAGGATTCTGACGCAGAAAGATGGCAAATTTGAGGACAATCTAAGCAACTTAGTGAGACCCTAACTCAAAATTAAAAAGACCAGGGAATGTAGTTCAGTAGTAAAGTGCCCCTGAATTCAATCCCCAGTTTTAAAAAGAAAAAAAAAATAAGATTATGGAGACCTAATAAGAAGCAGCTGTTGAAGAGACAGGGTTGCTAAATATCTGTATATTTAGTGTAGTGTCTTCCCTTAACAAATGGTCATTAAACCTGGCAGCTCAGCTACTTCCACCATTCAGGAAAAAAATCACTCAGCAGTTGGTACTTATAGTACTTCACCTTGGGAATGATACTTTCTGGACTGTCATGTGCTTTTGTAGTTCTCCATGAAGTTGACCTCATCCAGGAAACACTAATTTTGAGCAGGTCTCGTGGAAATATAGAGGTAATGCAGAATCAGAACCCTATTGATATTAAAACCATGATACTACCACTTACTAATGATCTAACCTGTAATTGCTGTCTTTTAGATGAGATACTTAGAAAAGACTGATACATGGGCTGGGGTTATGGCTCAGCAGTAAAGCGTTTGCCTAGAGCGTGTGAGGCCCTGGGTTTGATCCTCAGCACAACATAAAAATAAATAAATAAAGGTACTATGTCCTACTACAACAAAAAAATAAATTTAAAAAAAGAAGAAAGGACTTGATACATAGAGGGCACTTAACTTTCCTTTTTGAATGATCTTGGTTATCTATAACTTCTTTTTTTCTTATATTTTTCCCTCTATTATTTTTGTTTCCCTAACTGGATTATAAGCTTCATGACAATACAGTAAAACTCATATGCTGTTTTGGGATACGCCTTGAAAATATTTTCTTATTTATTCTAATCATGTTGCATACATCTTTTTAAGTTATTATCTGTGGCATTTGTCAAAATAAGTACCTAATACTTGATTGTTTTCTTTGACTAATGAGCTATAGTACACACCATGCAAATGGAAGAAGAGTACAGGAAAGAGTGAGGAAAACTGTAATAGGCTGTTACACAGCGTAAACAGAAACAAACTAGTGACATTGCTGAGAGGATAATCTCAAGGAAGGGATTTAATCTTGGGAGACCTCCCCCCAGAGAAGTGAAAGTTCTGAGAAAGTCTGATAGATACTTAAGCACAATTTGCATGCAAATTTTTGTTTGTCCACTGTGAAGAGATGCCCTCTCCTGATCCCTGTGTCTCCCCTGTTAAGAAAGAACATATTATGGGGAGAACACACCATTGTGCTCATGGCTTTGACCCTGCTTTCTTTTTCCTATCAAGGATGAACCCAGGGTTGTTTAACTGCTGAGTCACATCCCCAACCTTTTTTTTGTTTTGTTTTGTTTTTTGAGACAGGGTCTCACTAAGTTGCTTAGGGCCTTATTAAATTGCTGAGGCTGGCCTTGAACTTGAAATCCTCCTGCCTCCACTTCCCAAATTGCTGTGATAACAGGTGAGCGCCACACCCAGTCTAAGCAATTTTTTCACTTAAATGGCATAAAAATTTATGTATTGTTCAGAAATGTCAACGTTCAATAGCTTTTGGGGAGGCAGGACTGAATCTAGAGGTACTTTGCCACAGAGCTACATCCCCAGTCCTTTTACATTTTTTATTTTGAAACAGTGTCTTGCTAAGTCACCAAGGCTGGCCTGGAACTAGCTTCTCCTGCCTCCGTTTCCCAAGTCACAGGCATCATAGGCATGCGCTAACATGCCCAGCTTCAGTGACTTGTTAACATTCCATCACCTCTCACTGTTATTTTTGCTTAACATCACAGAGCATGGAAAACTGATTCAACAACTTCTTTGAGATTGTTTTCAACCTATTCCCTACAAATTGTGAGGGCTGAGGAAAGAGTCTAACATTTGGATGAGACAGAAGTGTTTCTTTTTTAAACCAGTGGGCACTGTATGATACTCAGTGAGGAAGATATATGATGCCACACCTATGAAATTTGACTCTAACCCTGGATTTTTGTTGTTGTTGTTTATCTTTCAGAAAATAGCAAGCTCCTCTGAAGCATCCTCGGCTGTGTGTCCTTCGGGAGATCACTAATGGTTACCTAGCATTTCTGCTACACAGGCGGGTCCTCAGGTGAGTTCTCCAGATTGGTAGGAAGAGAGAGTGATGCAGAAGACAGCAGGCACTGTTGATTGTTTAGCAGAGTGGTTGGGCAGGCTTTGTTCATTATTTCAGGAGTTGCTGGTGATAGACCCACATGCTAGCAGAGCCCTGAAGTTGTTTGACAAGTGTGAATCAGTGTTGAAAGGGGGCTTCAGAAGTCCCTGGATATGTTCTCGTGACAGGGGCCTAGCCTGAACTTTTTATTCTGGATGATATTTCTTCATGGGTACTGCTTTGAGCAAAACTGGTAAAGAGATGGTTTTCCAAAAGTCTGGGTTTCTGTGTCATTCGTTTCTTATTAGTTTATTCATTTCTTAGTTTAGGTAGAATGACAAGAGTTGTCAAGCTGTAAAGATGCCACCTCAGTATGGGAGGCTCCATGGGTCCCTGCTGTGTGCTTTTGACTGCTAGCCAGAGCCACCCATTGGGGGATGGACCAGTCATGGTCAGATGATAGTTATCATATATACTTTAAAGCCTTTGTCCAGGAAAGTACCTGTCAGTGGACAGGAGAAATTCTGCTCAAAGTCTTCATTGGTTCTTGGCAGTATGAGAACAGTAAGGACCACAGAATAAGTGACACATGATGTCAGATGTGTTCAATTTAGTGGACTATCATGCATTCTGAAGTCATGTACAATGCCTTTCACTTTTTTAATGTTAAAATGTCCCTTTCTTTAAAAATGAAACTTCTTTGTGCTGGGACCACATAGGCACCAGGAATCATTTGTTGAGTGAATAGGTAACTAAAATAACAGTGATTATAATCATATTTGATTTTTTCCTTAAGTTTTGGCAAAATAGGAGTTTACTGCTTGTTGTTGGCTTCCCAAACATGATGGATTGCTCTAGAAAATTCAAATATCTGGAAATATTCGACTTAAAGGCTACCTGGTGTGAATTGGACCTTTATGGATGGGATTGTTTACTTGTTAAACTTATACAGAGCCTGCCTGTACTGTTTGCCAGGCACTGAGCTCTTTCTCTGAAGAAAATTAATACAGGATATAATACCCCTGGTCTTGGTGAGTTGCATGAAATGAATTGATATGAAGTTGAAACTTGTGCCCGGAGAGGTATGAACCCCTTGGAGAGTGTTAAAGGATCCCAAGTATCTCTCTTCTGCTGCCCAGGTCCATGCCCACCCTTTGCACTTGAGCCCTTTCTGTTCGAGCCCTTTCTTGTGTGTGTGTCTTTCATACAGTCTACCACAGCTTCTTGCTGTTTCCTTGCAGGGTTTGTGCAAGTTTGCAAACATGTTCACTGTCTCTCAGACCTCGAGAGCATGGTTCATTGATAGAGCCCGTCAGGCACGAGAAGAAAGGCTGGTGCAGAAAGAGCGAGAGCGAGCCGCTGTGGAGATTCAGGCCCACGTCCGGAGTTTCCTCTGTCGGAGTCGACTGCACAAAGACATCAGGTGGGGGTCAGAAACTCCCCCGCACATTTCTCTCACTCCCAACCAACAGGAAATAGATAAGTTTTCTCTTATAGGTCTTGAGGAGCCTTCCAGATGCTGTGAATTTTAAAATGCCTTTTTTTTTTTTTTTTTTTAAATCCTTCCCTCCGTAGGAGAGAGATTGATGAGTTTTTTAAAGCAGA